GCCCCCAGCGTTTGGTTTTCCCCTGTCGCTCGACCCTAAGTCGCGACATTAGGTCGAAACTCCTCAACGCTGCCGGCGTTCCAAAACAAACACTCATCTTTCCTCTCCTATAGGTTGGGTGGTGCGCACCCCTACTATACCCTACGATACTTAGATAGCCTACGATACATCGCCACCACTTAAGGGACGAACTCTTCGGTATCTGCACTTCAGTGGGCGATACTTGTCCTCACGGACGCGTGGCTTAGGTTCCTGCTGCATACTAGCCAAAAGCAGTACTGGGCCCCACGTGAACTGCGAACCTTAGTGTCTTCTTGGGCGCCGTAGGTGTAAGCTAGCTAGCACGGCCTTTCGTAGCACGCGCACCTCCCCTTCCTCCCCCCATCACCGTGGCTGACGAATTCTTCGACTGCTCTCGACTTGAGCACGCCTTCGATACCCAGGAGCAGGTCGACGTCTCTCGTGACGACCCAAAGAGCAGCGAAGACAGACCTCCTTTCTTCATCTGTGATCGGCAACCGTGCCCTAACCGCACCCCACGGTCCATCACTGTTGACGAAGGGCACTTCGTACCAATCCGACGGGTCCAACACCCCCGCGGCCCTGCACTCCGGTACGCTGGCACCTCGAGATCTACATCTCGCCACGTCACTCCCGTCCCATCCCGACCTGCCTCGCCAGGCACCCGCATCCCCCAACCTGTCGCCAGTACAGGTCAAGCGCGAGGAGATTCCTATCTCCCTCGAGGAATTGAGGCAGTCGCACAGCCTTCAGCGACCCCTCAAGCGATCCCCCAGCCCTCCTTGGGGCCGCGGCTGGAAAGGCCTCCCAAGACCGAGCCCCGCGACACTCCGCCGCATTCTTGGGCCAGCTCGTCGTCAGCGGTCACCGCCTCGACTCCAGTCCCTGTCCTACGTCACCCTGCCTCCGGGCTTCCTCAACCGACTTCACCGTCGTCGCCGCCGCGAGGCCGCTCAAGCACTCGTTCCCCGAGAAGTCCGCCCGGCGGACAGTCACAACAGTCGCCTTCGTCCGCGGGCAGTCCTTCGTCCCCCTCGTCGCCGATAATGTCCTCTCCCGCTGCCGTCCCTGATAAGGAGACGTTGAAGCTCCTCCTCCCGCTCTGCTACGATGGCAAGACCGTCATCGAGTGCAACCGGTTCCTGTCGCAGCTGCGCATCTACTGGATGGTCAACACGTCGTTGACCACCATTGAGCTCAAAGTACAGGTTGCGCTGAGCCTGCTCGATGGAGACGCCCGCGCTTGGGCCACTCCCTACTTCGCCCAGCTCGTATCGGTGCAGATAGGAGTGCAAGGGGTCACGACCCCTTTTGCAAACGAAGCGGCCTTTGCCGCCGCCTTCAGGGCCCGCTTCGGAAATCTCGACGACGAGGCGGCAGCGCAAGTAGAGCTGGCGAAGCTCTGCGCGGACAAGTCGGTCCGTGAAAAACGCACCGCCGCGGAATTCTCCGCGTTGTTCAAGGGTCCGGCGGACCGCTCTGGGTACGGGGACCTGGAGCTACGCGACAAGTACCTGAGCGGCATCCCCTCCCGCGTCTACCGCAAAATCGAGCTCGAGACCTTCGCCACGTGGCAAGCAGCTGAGAAGCGCGCCACCGAGGTCGAGCAGATCCTCGACATCAGCCGGGCCCGTAGGCCCGAGCTAAACAACTTCTTCTCGGCCCGAGGTCGAGGACGCGGTGGGGCACGTGGTGGTGCACCCTCAACGCACGCAGCTTCGGCCAGCATCAATGCGGCCGTCGGAAAAGGCAACTTCCCCGGCACATGCTTCGGCTGTGGGAAGCAAGGGTACCGACGCTTCGAGTGCCCCAATTGTAAGGACAAGCCTTACACAAAACGCGCCGACGCGCGGGCTACGGTTGCCTCGGGATCCACCCAGGCTGCGACAAGCGCCCCCGTCACGACAACACCCTCGGCAAGTATAAGTGCCGCTTCAGCGAAATCCGAGCAATCGGAGCTGGCGGACTTAATGGCACAGGTGAAGTCGATGCGCGAGGAGCTCGAGCACTATCGGGCGATGAAGGAGGAGGCTTTTTGATCCGGTCCGCGCTTCGTGCCGCACGTGTCGGGCCGGGTATATCATGTAATTGTTATAGCGTATTGTCGACTGCAATGGTGTATGAGTTGGACCAGGGGTCCCAGCATTTTCACATCCCAGTTCGACTCCAAGGAAAAAGACGGCACAAGGACATAATCGCTATGGTGGACAGCGGAGCCACCACGAAGTTTATCAACAAGCGATTCGTTGAAGAGAATAAGGTGCAAACGCGGAAATTAAAAGAGCCGATTCCGCTATACAATATCGACGGCACCCTAAATAAAGACGGAAGCATCTCAGAGGTAGCGGTGCTACAGATGCATATAGGAGAGCACGTCGAGAAGACGGTGTTCACGGTCACGGACATCGGTCCAGAAGATGTGATCGTCGGGTTGGATTGGCTACGCGAGCACAACCCAGAAATAGATTGGGAGAAGGGCTCCCTCAAATTGTCACGATGCCCTGAAACGTGCAGTGCCAGGAGGACTGGCCGAATGGAGCAAGCAGCGACTGCGCGTGATACGGGGGTCAGGCCTACGGCGCGCAGGCGTTCGCTGAAGTCCAAACGGTCGGTTATAGGTGCCTGCCGGAGTAAGGTACTCCCGGACTTCGAACCCGAAGAAGATCCGGTGGAGGTAGAATGGGATGAGACCGATTTGATCGAAGCCTGGGAGCAAGGTGTCACGCTTCCCGGCGCTCCTCAGCTGTTCGTCGCAGCAGGACATACGTACTCCCAGCTGTTTGCTGAGGAAGAGATCAAAAAGAAGGTCGTTAAGACCGCCGAGGAGTCGGTACCTAAACAGTACCACGAGTTCCTGAATGTCTTCTCCAAGGAAGCATCAGAACGGTTACCCGAAAGGAAGCCGTACGATCATGCGATCGAACTCGTGCCCGGCTACTCGACCTTCCATTCGAAGGTATACCCTTTGTCGAACAACGAGCAAGAGGAACTGGACAAGTTCCTGAAGGAGCAGTTAGCGAAAGGCTACATACGGGAGTCGAAGTCGCCCATCTCGTCCCCCTTCTTCTTCATCAAAAAGAAGGAAGGGACACTTCGACCCGTGCAGGACTACCGCCGATTGAACGCGATCACGGTCAAAAATCGTTACCCCTTGCCGTTGATCGCCGAAATGGTGGATAAGCTCCGCGGCGCCACGCTCTTTACGAAGTTCGATGTCCGATGGGGATACAATAACGTCCGGATCAAAGCCGGTGATGAGTGGAAGGCGGCCTTCGTAACTAACTGGGGGCTGTACGAACCCCTGGTAATGTTCTTCGGTCTCACCAACTCCCCCGCGACCTTCCAGGCGATGATGAACGAGATCTTCCACGATCTCATCGTCGGTGGCAAGATCCTCGTATACTTGGATGACATACTCATCTTCTCCACCAACAAGGAGGAGCATGAAAAGATCACACGCGAGGTTCTGCGCCGCCTTCAGGATAATGATCTATTCCTGAAGCCTGAGAAGTGCGAATGGGATGTTCCCAAGGTCGACTACGTCGGCTATGTGTTCGGTGGCGATGAGGTAGCGATGGATCCCGCGAAGCTGAAAGGAATTAATGAGTGGCCGGTACCCCGGAACAAAAAAGATGTCCAGAAGTTCCGGGGGTTCTCCAACTTCTACCGCCGCTTCATCAAAGACTTCGCTAAGATCTCGCGACCACTCGACCGGCTCACAGGGAATGACCCATGGCATTGGGGCGAGGAAGAGCAGCACGCCTTCGACGAGCTCAAGCGGCTCTTCGCGACAACTCCAGTCTTGGCGCTGTACGACCCTAATCGGGAGACGCGCATTGAGGTTGATGCCTCGGGGTACGCCACTGGCGGCGTGTTGATGCAGAAGCAGGATGACGGCAAATGGCATCCCATTGCCTTCAGATCCCATGCGATGGATCCGGCGCAACGGAACTACGAGATCTACGATAAGGAGATGCTCGCGATCATTGAGGCGCTAGACGACTGGCGCCACTATCTCGAGGGGTTACCCAATCAGTTCGAGATCGTCACTGATCACAAGAACCTCGAGTACTGGCGTACATCCCAACATCTCACGCGCCGTCAAGCGCGATGGTCGCTGTTCCTAGCTCGCTTCGACTTCCGCATCACGCACAAGGCCGGGACGTCCAATGGAAAGGCTGATGCCCTGTCGCGTCGATCAGACCATCAGATCGGCGATGAGGACGATAACACCGATCAGGTGGTTCTCAAGCCAGAGCGCTTCCGCATCGCCTCCGCTAGGCGCGGTCACGCCTCGGTGACGGCCGATCAGTCACTTCTGAAGCGCATCAGGGAATGTTCGGAGAAGGATCGGGAGGTGGCCGAGGCACTTGAAAAGGTGCAGGACCTCGGGCCACCCCGGCTACAAAGGGGTTTCGAGGAGTGGAATGCCGAGCAAGGGCTTCTGCTGTTCCGCGGGTGTGTGTACGTCCCAAAGGACGCGGAGCTCCGGCGGGATATAGTCAAGATCCACCACGACTCGCCGATCGCCGGTCATGGTGGTCGTGCCAAAACCCTGGAGCTCGTGTCGCGGAATTACTGGTGGCCGGGAATGTCCAAGTTTGTTAATGAGTACGTAAGCACCTGCGATGTGTGCAACCGTACCAAGACATTCCCAGCCAGACCCCAGGGCCCACTGAAGCCGAATGAGATCCCCGAGCGCCCATGGCAGATCATCACGACCGATATGATCGTCGGCTTGCCGAAGTCTGATGGATTCGACTCGATCCTGGTCACCGCCGACCGCTTTACCAAGCAGGTTCACTTCTCGGCCTGTCATGAGACCCTGACGGCAGAAGGTGCGGCAGACCTGTACATCCGCGACGTGTTCAAGCATCATGGGGCCCCGGCCAAGGTCATATCAGACCGAGGTCCCCAGTTCGCTTCAAAATATCTCCATGCGGTGTACAAGGGTCTGGGAATCGAGCCAGCGCTGTCCACAGCGTTTCATCCTCAGACAGACGGCCAGACTGAGCGCTGGAATCAGGAGATTGAGCAGTACCTGCGCGCTTTCACAAGCCACAGGCAGGATGATTGGGCGAAGCAGTTGCCGCTCGCGGAATTCGCACTGAACAACCGAGTTCACTCCGCGACCGGGCATTCCCCTTTCTTCCTGCATCAAGGGTACAATCCTGAGATCCAGGTTCGGATCAATCCGATGTCTGCGATGCCTGCGGCCGCTGATCGGCTCAAGATCCTGAAGGAGATTTGCGACGATACGCGCTCTGCGCTTGCGCTGTCAGCCGAGCGCATGAAGGTGTACTACGACAAACACGTGCAGGAGGCACCGGTCTTTGCGCCAGGGGACAAGGTCTGGCTTGATGCCCGGAACCTTAAGCTGAAACAGCCGAGCAAGAAGCTCAGTCCCAAGCGCCTCGGACCATATGCCGTGCGGCGAAAGCTCGGAGACTTGGATTACGAATTAGTCCTGCCGAAGTCGGTGCCGGTGCACCCGGTGTTCCATGTCTCCTTGCTGAGCAAGTACACGCGTAGCGATATCCCGGGCCGGGAGCCGGAGGAGCCGCCTGCGATCGAGGTTGAGGGCAATGAGGAGTACGAGGTTGAGCGGATCAAGGATTCGCGGATCTTCCGGCGTCAGCTGCAGTACCTCGTCAAGTGGAAGGGTTATGACGACTCGCATACGTCATGGGAACCGGCGCGCAATGTTACCAATGCGCCGGCCCTCATAGCCGACTTCCACCGGAAAAATCCGAATGCCCCTCGCCGCCTCAATGCTGCTACCTTTGGTGGTCTCAACTTTCAGCCAATGCCTTCGCCGCTGACTGAAGCACGCTGCCGCTCCGGATGGGAGATGGGCAAGGGCGCCTCGCATGAGGTCATGCGCCGTTGAGGGGGGGGTAATGTCACAAGTTGGTACGGCGCCTAGCCGTTTTTTAATTTTTTCCTTTTCGCGGGCTCGAACCCGCGACCCCTGTACTACCTGCCTGATATGGACGCATCGTTATCTACTGTACGATTAGATTAGATGGGCGGCAGTGCGCGGCACAGCTCGGGCTCCGCTGACACAGCCGCTCTGACTCACCGGCCCCCGGGGCCGCGTCGGCATGCTGCGCACAGACCAGCTGCGCACGGACCAACGTGCACAGCCTGCCCTAATCTCCCCATGTATATAAGCCGGCCTCTGCTGCCCTAGGGACCTCAGTTTCGACCTCTTGTCCCTAGGTCAGTAAGCCCCCAGTTGTATTCTCTTTGCTTACTTAACTAATATACTATCTTGTCCCTAGCCTTAGGTTTGAGCCTCGCTCACCATCGCTTCGGTGAGAACCAGTCGGACGCCCCTCGCTTCTAGATATTTCCCTGTCGCTTGACCTCAAGTCGCGACATATGGGGACCTGGAGCTACGCGACAAGTACCTGAGCGGCATTCCCTCCCGCGTGTACCGGAAGATCGAGCTCGAGACCTTCACCACGTGGCAAGACGCTGACAAGCGCGCCACTGAGGTCGAGCAGATCCTCGACATCAGCCGGGCCCGTCGGCCCGAGCTAAATAACTTCTTCTCGGCCCGAGGTCGGGGACGCGGTGGGGCACGTGGTGGTGCACCCTCGACGCACGCAGCTTCGGCCAGCATCAATGCGGCCGTCGGAAAAGGCAACTTCCCCGGCACATGCTTCGGCTGTGGGAAGCAAGGGTACCGACGCTTCGAGTGCCCCAATTGTAAGGACAAGCCTTACACAAAACGCGCCGACACGCGGGCTACGGTTGCCTCGGGCTCCACCCAGGCTGCGACAAGCGCCCCCGTCACAACAACACCCTCGGCAAGTATAAGTGCCGCTTCAGCGAAATCCGAGCAATCGGAGCTGGCGGACTTAATGGCACAGGTGAAGTCGATGCGCGAGGAGCTCGAGCACTATCGGGCGATGAAGGAGGAGGCTTTTTGATCCGGTCCGCGCTTCGTGCCGCACGCGTCGGGCCGCATATATCCTGTAACAAGTATGATGTATTGTCGACTGCAATGGTGTATGAGTTGGACCAGGGGTCCCAGCATTTTCACATCCCAGTTCGACTCCAAGGAAAAAGACGGCACAAGGACATAATCGCTATGGTGGACAGCGGAGCCACCACGAAGTTTATCAACAAGCGGTTCATTGAAGAGAATAAGGTGCAAACGCGGAAATTAAAAGAACCGATTCCGCTATACAATATCGACGGCACCCTAAACAAAGACGGAAGCATCTCGGAAGTAGCAGTGCTACAGATGCACATAGGAGAACACGTCGAGAAGACGGTGTTTACGGTCACGGACATTGGACCAGAGGATGTGATCGTAGGGTTGGATTGGCTACGCGAGCACAACCCCGAGATAGATTGGGAGGAGGGCTCCCTCAAATTGTCGCGATGCCCTGAAGCGTGCAGTGCCAGGAAGACTGGCCGAATGGAGCAAGCGGCGACTGCGCGTGATACGGGGGTCAGGCCCACGGCGCGCAGGCGATCGCCGAAGTCCAAACGGTCGGTTATAGGCGCTTGCCGGAGTAAGGTGCTCCCGGACTTCGAACCCGAAGAAGATCTGGTGGAGGTAGAGTGGGACGAAGCCGATTTGATCGAAGCCTGGGAGCAAGGTGTCACGCTTCCTGGCGCTCCTCAGCTGTTCGTCGCAGCAGGACATACGTACTCCCAGCTGTTTGCTGAGGAGGAGATCAAAAAGAAGGTCGTTAAGACCGCCGAGGAGTCGGTGCCCAAGCAGTACCACGAGTTCCTGAATGTCTTCTCCAAAGAAGCATCAGAACGGTTACCTGAAAGGAAGCCTTACGATCATGCGATCGAACTCGTGCCCGGCTACTCAACGTTCCATTCGAAGGTGTACCCATTATCGAACAACGAGCAGGAGGAACTCGATAAATTCCTAAAGGAGCAGCTAGCGAAGGGTTACATACGGGAATCGAAGTCGCCTATCTCGTCCCCCTTCTTCTTCATCAAAAAGAAGGAAGGGACACTTCGACCCGTGCAGGACTACCGCCGATTGAACGCGATCACGGTCAAAAATCGTTATCCCTTGCCGTTGATCGCCGAAATGGTGGACAAGCTCCGTGGCGCTACGCTCTTTACGAAGTTTGATGTCCGATGGGGATACAACAACGTCCGGATCAAAGCCGGTGACGAGTGGAAGGCGGCCTTTGTGACCAACCGGGGACTGTACGAACCCCTGGTGATGTTCTTTGGCCTCACTAATTCCCCCGTGACCTTCCAGGCCATGATGAACGAGATCTTCCACGATCTCATCGTGGGTGGCAAGATCCTCGTATACCTGGATGACATACTCATCTTCTCTACCAATAAGGAAGAGCATGAGAGGGTCACACGCGAGGTTCTTCGCCGCCTTCAGGACAACGATCTATTCCTGAAGCCTGAGAAGTGCGAATGGGACGTTCCCAAGGTCGACTACGTCGGCTATGTGTTCGGTGGCGATGAGGTGGCGATGGATCCCGCGAAGCTTAAAGGAATTAATGAGTGGCCGGTACCCCGGAACAAAAAAGACGTGCAGAAGTTCCGGGGGTTCTCCAACTTCTACCGCCGCTTTATTAAGGACTTCGCTAAGATCTCGCGACCACTCGACCGACTCACAGGGAACGACCCATGGCATTGGGGCGAAGAAGAGCAGCACGCTTTCGATGAGCTCAAGCGGCTCTTCGCGACGACTCCAGTCTTGGCGCTGTACGACCCTGATCAGGAAACGCGCATTGAGGTTGACGCCTCGGGTTACGCCACTGGCGGCGTGTTGATGCAGAAGCAGGATGACGGCAAATGGCATCCCATCGCCTTCAGATCCCATGCGATGGATCCGGCACAGCGGAACTACGAGATCTATGATAAGGAGATGCTCGCGATCATTGAGGCGCTAGACGATTGGCGCCACTATCTCGAGGGGTTACCCAATCAGTTCGAGATCGTGACCGATCATAAGAACCTCGAGTACTGGCGTACATCCCAGCACCTCACGCGCCGTCAAGCGCGATGGTCGCTGTTCCTAGCTCGCTTCGACTTCCGCATCACGCACAAGGCCGGGACGTCCAATGGAAAGGCTGATGCCCTGTCGCGTCGATCAGACCACCAGATCGGCGATGAGGACGATAACACCGATCAGGTGGTTC